ATCAGATGGTCATGTTCTTCTCACTGTATTCAAATAATAAAAGTACAAATTTTACAATATTCTGACTTCCTAGCACTCCTAAATTCTTCCTTGTGAAGCAGTATCTAACGTTGAGAAATGAACCCATCTCCCCATGGCTTATTTGATGGAAACATGCCAATAATTATTTCTCACTGGATATAGTTTATGGCAACTTCTAAAAGGCCAAAAAAGGAATTTCTGGTCTAACTGCAGGTGGGGCCTGAGAGCATAAGAACAATAAGCACTGATTACTTAAAAACCTAGATTACTGTCTGTCAGGCGTGCGTATATTTTGAATAGTCAATAGACTGGTCTTAGTGACAGATCAGGCATGAATAATATAAAGGAGAGAAGCACCTTGGGCATATGGTGGTGCCATCAACTGAGATAGGAAACTCAGATGGAGGAACCCATTAGGGTGGGAAATAAACATAGGAAGAACTCAGTTTGGGAAACATTGATTTTATGGTGGATGAGGGGCATGGAGGTAAAGAAATCTGGGGGCGGCTAAATTTAGGAATGAAGATCTCAGGAAGAAGGTTTGAAGTAGTGAGCAAGATCAGGTACACAATCATTATCTGTAAGGGGCAAGACAGTAAATACTTTAGGTTTTGCAGGCCATACGATCTATCACAACTACTCAACTCTGCCTTTGCATCATCAACACAGCCATAAACAACAGCTAACAACTGAGTGTGTCTGTTCTAATAAAACTTTATTTACAAAAAACAGGTGTCAGAATGTATTTATTTGGACCATAAGTCACAGTTTGCCAACCTGAGTTAGAGGACAGTGAAGCCCTGGGACTGGATAAGATCACCCAGAAAGAACATATAAATATAAGGCAAATTAGCATGATATGAATTTGAAAACATGTAATTCTTCAATTTCTATTCAGTTCAGTAAGGACATATTTTTACTTTTTTCCTTGATATGTGAAACAATGGCTAGCATAGGTATATACATATATGGTAGTAAGAAGTACAAGAAAAGCTACTAACCTAAAAAGAAAAGGGAATTTAAGTTATAAGTAAAAATAATGAACTTTTATATTTTATTTTACCAGTGATACTACTTTTCCAAACATTATTTAAAAGTTCAATAATCACATGAAATATACTGAATTATTAAATATATTTAATTATCAATTGTTGCTAAAATGGAGTTAAAGTCAGTTTTAATTTTTCCAAAAGAATATGAACGCTGGGATGAATTATTCCTACCCATGAAATGGATTTAGTATTTTGATACTGAAGAAAAGCCAGGAAGGCAGAGCAAGAGACAATAAAATGATTAGGCTACATAAGGGCAAACGGCATTCATAACATGTAAAATGTGTTTGCTTATTTCTATAGTTATAAATAGCTTTATAACTATTTCTCTAATAGCCATCAAAATCTTAAACATAAACTCCATTGCTAAAGGACTAAATAAACGTTGTTTCTGTTTAAATAAAACTCATCAAAACATTCAAATATGCCTTGGGTGCTACGTTAATGCCAAGGATTAAATGACCAGTATTTACAGCATAAAAATTAAGCATAGCTCCTACTTAGAGGTGTAAATCAGGGTTTGCTTATTTGGGGCCCTATAGATAGATAACCAAAGGGTCCTTGGCCAACTTTGGGAGGGTCTATAGACTGCCTATGCAAAGCTTTCTGTGCATGTGTCCTTCTTCAGAGATAGTCCAGGATGGTCATTAAATTCCTGAAGGAGTCTATTGCTTCTCCAAAGCTAAACTGGGATCCGTAAACAGGTCTCTTTAAAGCACATTTATCTTACTTAAAAAGCCTAAAAGTTTTTTTCTAACTTCCTATTTTTGAAAAGAATAAAAGACTTGATTATTAGTCCAAATTAAGCAAGTAAGTTTTTGTGTTTCTGCCCCAGACCACTGGCATTAGACCCAAACTCAAAACTGTGTCCATTAGTGAGAAGCCAAGTTTCCTTCCCACTATTCACCCAGAGAAACTCACCCTTAACTTAGAATTTTTAAACAGCTCATTGTTTCCGGGGATCTGAGGCACCTTTTTATAAAGCTCAAGACAGAAATCAATAAATATCCCAAGAGCCGAGTACTTCTGAGATGCTGGACTACTAATTAGTATGCCTTATCTTTAAATTAATCTGGAGAGTTAATTCTATGTAATAGGTGAAAGAACATAGCAGTACCAGAATGTTCTTCTTACACGTTGATTTTTTTTTAAGGTAAATTACAGCAAGTTGATGGCAAAATGAAAGAACTGAAAATCCTGCTATTCCATTCATAGGCTATAGTCCATCTCTTATAAATGAAAGGCATCTTAGCATCTCTTGGGAAAGTAACCTATTCTTTCCAGAACAAAATAAATTCCTCTCAAGGATTAGATTTTTGAGAGATTCTATAGCATTCACAAAAGGCTTCTGAAACACCTCCTTGCTAATTTAATTTTCTGCCTTTTCTCTGTTGATAGCTAAGATCAATTTGGAATAACTTTTCCATAATATTGAAAATCAGTGAGCAGGAGGCCGTTAATGCTTTGAGGCCCTATTGTACGAAAGGTTACTCCTTCAAAGTGTGAAAGATGGTCCAAATCAAGTTGATCTTTCTAAGACAGGAAGTAGCAGAGGCCCCGAATTTCAAAAGCTGTCTTCTGTCCACCTAAAACTATCCAATAAACGTTATCTTTCATGACCACAGAACCAACATTTCCTTGGTTCACATGACATGAGGGTCCATAAAATTATATGCAGGCTCCACAGCAGCTTCTTTGCTGCCTGAAAAAATACTTTGAGTCATACATGTTCCAATTTTTATCTATTTTGCATAAATGAAGCAGACTTGTAGAAAAGACTGGATTCATTATCATGTAAAATACAGCCGTTAGTGGAAAATCGATATTCCCAGACATAACAAGATCAGACTCTGGCTTCTGGGCTTAAGTTGGGGGTTAAGAGGTAGAACGTTTCCAAAAAAGAAAGCCTTCCTTTGGAAAGAGTTATTCACAGGGGTAAATTAAATAACACTACCAAAAAAGGATGCCACAACAAGCCACTGCTTGAGTCTACCATCAAAGCAGAACAATCTATCCAACTGACCCTTAGTATTAATGTCAGTATACAGCTAACTCTTCAATGTGTATGTGCTTCTCTCTCAAAATCTTTTGTAAGCTCTATCTTATGACTGGAAAACTTGACAGGACTCACTGGCCTCAAATACCTATCATATTAACGCACAAGAGATGTGTTATCATCGTGCCAATCAGATGCTACAACCAGGAAGCAAACACTGGCTAATTACAGAAATACAGAGTTTAAAATACCATGGATTCTACAGCAAGGGGAGGTGACAGGCAGGCCTGCTTCCAGGCAGTGATGATGAAATGGTCTCAAAGACGAGCAAGAGGGGAAGATCCGGAGAAGAAAGCAGATCATCTGGGTGCTCTCTAAATGTCAGGCACTGCTCTGGGCACTGAGCATACAAGGTGAACAAACAGATGAAGTCTCAGCTTATTTCCCTGTAGGTGGAGACTGACAAAAGACTAACACTAAAGTATCAGATGGGGGAAGTAAATTAAAAAGATCAAGGATAAAGAAGTGAGAGTGTCTTGAGGGCTTCCTGAGCCTTGGCTGCTTGAGGAAGTCCTTTTCGAGGAGGTAACATTTAAGTTGAGATCTGCCTGACAAGAAGGAGCCATCCTCTACGCTTTCAACCTGTAAGAACTATCTTTCGCGGAAAAATCGGAGAGATGTGACTTAGTCTCACAATCCTGCGGGTTTTCACCATTTTTTGTGTGTTTGAGGCATACATAATTTTTAAATATAAGAATATTGGTCAGATTATATAAAAAGCTTACAAGACAAAGCAATCTGAAATCAGTCAACAATAATCTGATCCTGTCACTCCTGACAATTCAACTAACCATGCCTCAGTTCTCTGTAACAGCACCGCCCCCCCCCCCCCGCCCCGTCCCGAGCCACCCGTTGGCTTCAGCTCTGAGTGGCTATTTGCAGCCTATACCACGCTCATACACTCAAGAGGCAAATGTCTCCAGTTAAACAGGAGATCTTTCTTCAGCAGAGGCTCAAGAACACACTCAACTAAAAATTAAACTTCCCTTGTCTTCTGCAAACATAACCTGTTTGGCTTAATAATTGCCTAGCAATACCTTAAGTTGCATGTACACATTTTATAGACTACACATGAGTTTCAAACATTAATGTTTGGCAGCGTGCTTTCATGCTATGGGGCATTTACAGGGCAATGGCAAAGCACTGCGTAAATGGAATGGCAAACCCTGGTTTACCACTCCTGAGTTTCTATATTTTCTGGCTTTCCCACTAGGAAATAATCAGTTTCACAGAATTCTCAACCTCGTGGTCATTTCCCTACATGAAGTTTCGGAAAGAGTTTTAATTTCTTGTCTTTCCCCCCATTCTCTGATTCTTCATAGCTAAAACCCCCAGCAGAGCCAGGCTTCAGCATAACTTGCCTGGTGTCTGCAGACATGAAGGAGGCACATGAAGAAGGAAGGGCCCTGGCACGACCAAGCAACATGTCAGCATCACCAGAAACTAGGGTTGTTCCCAGAGGTCCACCACTCAGAATCGTCACGTGTCACCAATTTGGATGTAGGGCCAGCTAGCTGTGACACCTGTCACTTCACTGATGACCAGCACTGATTTGCTGAGCCCAGAGGGCCTCTGAAACACAGGCTAAAGCCTAATCAGCTTCCTAGAGGAGCGCAGAATTAATTTTCAAAGATAGGGAAGAAGGGTAGGATTAAAGAATATGAAGCTGATTATATTGGAGGAATGTCAAGAAGACTTTGGAGGACTTCGTGAAAGCTGTTTAGAAAACATAACAAATAACCTTAACATAATGGTTAGAGTCCAAACAGCCAACTCCTTCTTCTTCCAACAGGCCCAGTAGTGTGCCTTTCATGCCAGGCAGTTTGAGTTTCTGCTGAAGATAAGATCTCAACCTCACAGCAGCAATGTCC